CGACGTCTCAAAACAGAATGCAAGAAATACGTCATCCAGCAGGCTTTGAGCCACAATAAGCAAAGATGAGAGTTAAAATAGGGAGCTGTTGAAGTAAAAAAAAAAAAAATAATAAAATAATAATAGAATCCAAATTTTATCACTGACACAAAATAACTTTTTTAATCAATTCGTCTTATGCAAGAGGCTATTGAGATGGAAAAAGAATGAAAAGACTTTACAAGGAACCGGTAATCAAATCCTAAACATGAATCAATGGAAAAACCTCTACCCTTTTTCAAAAGACCGGGGAGGAATGTGAACCGGACGATTAGCGAACCTATCTGCTGCTATTGAAGAAAAATAAATAAATAAATAAATAGTAAATAAAATATAGTATTCCATCATATTCGTAGCATTTATAGTGCTATATTTCTGTTGCCTCCTCCCTTCTTTTATTTTTTTTTTTGCTAATGTTCACCAATACAAGACCCAAGAGACACTCAAGGTAGAGGGTTTCTATGTGGACTTATATTAGAATAATAAAAAATTCAAGCGTTAGAAGTAAAGAGCTGAAGCAGATTTTAGAAGGAACCGGAAACACAATCCTAAACAGGAAACAATGGATACTGTTCAAAAGACGGGGGAGGAGTGTGAACCGAATTTTCACCTTAAAAATGAATAAAATACTAAGAAGCCTGTAATGTTAAATAAAATTACTAAGGTCAAACATCACCTTTTGAACAAATGTAGAACATTTGAATCAAATAGGTTTTGCAGTGATTAGTTTTTACCTGTTGCTAAATAAGCTATTCATTAACTTTACATTCAGCTTTAAATATGACACGTGAGATTTACTACACCTGGTTTCAGACACTTTTTAACCTTAACAAAAATGCAAAGTTACGATTAAAGTCACTGAAAAATGAATATCGTAAACTCATTTTTTATTCACCCTTTACCTTTAAAAGCAAGATCAAGTTCATGAAGATTATCCTGATTTAGGGAGTCCAGCTAATAATTCGTTGTTGGTTCATTTTAACACAGACCCTCAGATTAAGAATAAATCCGACAATTAGGCATGCATTAGCAAAGGACGCTATCAATGTCGTCTGCTTTTTTCATTCTCGAACAGAAACGTTTGCGAATGAATACCAAATCAGAATAATTAGCGTTTCGCTTCACTAATTTCATTGAAAAGTCTTACAAATCGAACATCTCTTAGTCACAGACCCTATGTAAATACCACGAAATAGCATTATCCGCTCTTCATCTCTCCCCTCCTATCGTGCTTTACGCTTCGTTTGTTTTGCCACCCATATTTAATTCATAAACCCATGGAGAACATTTTAAAGATTTTCGGCTTTCTTTCAATGTCATTATCAAAATTAAATGAATTAATGTACGTCGTATCATAATTTTTCCAACTCACACCACTTCTCATCCCTCATATTTTTCATTGAATTTAAATAATGAACTACGGTTAGAGTCATATAAAAAAAGCAAACTTACAATCATCTGTAAGTTTCAAAATTGAATATAGTTTACAGTTGCCACCCTTTTGTGAGCATGTGACCATCTTATGAATGTCGGAACATACCGATCGAACTGAGAGCTTTGTTTAATGAAATTATTTTGTCGTAACCTTTACATTGAAAATCTTTCAGACATATTTACCCTTCATTTTCAGAAAAGACACTTAACGTAAATGAAATATAGGGTGTAGCTTTTTCAAACAAGATCACATTCTGAGAGAAAATAAGAAGCTGACTGCTTCAATGACAGCTGTAAATGACATATAAAAAAGTGATAAAATGACATTAAATTATAGAAATCTCATATTTGAGACAGTAGATCCGTTTTTATCCATACTTTTTTTTTTGGATACTATTTCAAATTAACAAAATTGTTGATGTTTATGGCATTAATTCAAACGGAACTACATTATTTCTACTGAATTAAATATATAGCAGGCAACGATTACATTGTAAAGTTCGATAGGTCGTATAAAGACAGTAAAAAATAAGAGCATCTCCCTCTCATCCCATTAAAAGGGCGAGGTTAATCCCCTATACCGGAGGACGGAAATATTGAAAGATATAAGTGTGGCTTGCTGTCACCATATACACCAGTGTTTGGTTCACCTCGAGGCGGTGTAATGGTTAGCAAGCTTGTCTCACTAGAACAATTACAACTGACTAGTGAGTTCGATCCTCACTGGGTGCCCCATACTTTCGGCCTTGTGCCACATCTAAGCTACGCTTGGAAAATAACTATACACCAGTGGTTCTCAATCGGGGTCCACATGTACCATGGGACATCTATGTAACATTACTGGGGTTCAATACAAAAAAATAGCAAATTGAGGTCCACATTAATATATTAGTGGTCCATAGAGCAATTTCACTTCGTAATGTTTGATACAACTGAGAATTTGAATTTCTACAGTAACTTACGCCATATTAGAATACTAAAAAATAGAAAAAAATCAGAAACTATCAGAAAACGAGATCAAGCGATGTAAGTTTTAACGTCCCTTTTATTCTACCGGATGTTTTGATTGTAAAAGTTGAATAAAAACTGAGAAGGATATATAAAAGAAGGATTATATATATATATATATATATATATATATATATATATATATATATATATATATATATATATGGAGCCGAATATATATAAAAAGAAATTCCCAGAGCAACATCAACGCAGGGATATCATTGTATAAATCTGCACATTTTTAAATTTATTAATTACTCACATATTATAAACTGGTTTATTATGAGTTATTTTACTAGTATACATAAATGTTCCATAGAATTTAGTTGTTAAATACAAGTTTATTTTCATTGAATTAGTTACTTCAAAATAAAGCATATACATTAACTATTTCTATAATACAATTTCTAAACTAAAGTAAGTTTTTTTTTTCTTTCATCGAATGCTTATGGAAGCTTCACTAAAGAAAAAATAAGAGTAAAAGTGGTCCATGAGTTAAAAAGTTTGAGAACCACTGATATACGCGTTTATGGAAAGCAACTCAGATAGTAAATCTAAACTGACCTGGTGTCAAATTTTTCGGTGTGTGAATATAAGAGCTCGCCATCATTTTATTCGGTTAATCTTAGATATCTACTTCATACCTAGCATCTATATATTTTTTTAAATCGTGACGCATTGTCGTTGTGTCGATTAATGACAACATGTGCAGACTAATGTGTAGCACAATCTTTGAATCTTTCCTATTTACATTTTATCCAGCTTCTGACTTAGTCAATTATTTTCAGTTAATCTGTGTTTAGCGTGACTCCGAAGAAACTCGCCCAAACGTGGACCTTACATCCTCGCCTGCGATGTTTGACAGACTGCCCCCCTACTTCTGGGGTGGGTGTTTATACGTCTATCATGCAGCTCGTTTACCCACTTACAAAACCTGGTGCAGCTGTGAGGTTACGTGATTCAAGATTCGGCAGACGGGAGTTCACCTTAGGTCAACTCAGCATCTGACCCACCCATCCCACTTGATGATCTGGTGGGATACTGAGTGCAAATTTATTTCTGGCATGACGCTACAATTGCACGCTAGTTTAGCCTGCTTCGTGGACGAAACGTTTAAATATTTCCCAGGTATATCAGAAGTTGGGATTCGAATTGAGATAAACAGTAAGGATATTAAATGCTGTTTTTCTAGGCTAGTAGTCTCTCCCCCGCTTGTAATACTGGCGTATTATAATCTTTCTACTTTCTCCACATTTCACCTTCGATCTGATTTGATCCAGTAATGTAAAGACGGCTTAGTATTGGAAAGTGCACGTGAGAAACACTTTGCAGGCTCTGTTCTCTAATTTTGTCAATGCACTCAGAAAAAAAAAAAACACAAATTGAAGGTCAAAATTGGAATCTCACTTGACCCTCACACACACACACACACACACACACACACACACACACACACACATGTAATTCTATGTTAATGTAACAATCGTTACGATGTGCATTATATAAAAACAGTTGCTTACACTTTTACGCTTCGCTAACGATTTGCTTCCCGAGGCGGGGATTATATCGTCGATAATAATGCTGTGCTCATCGAAGCGTAAAATGAAAATGCGCTGATGAAAAATGTGCGTTGCTTTCGTATGTTTCATTGAGATGTTTCTGCTTTGTGCCCTGCTGGTGGTTAAGTTTCTTGTTTTTTCACGACCACATCTAACATCGTTAATAACACATTCATTTTTCATTGTTTACATTCAGGCTCAAAATCACATTTTTGTTATCATCACAACGTTTCGACCATTGACCCTTTCAGACTTTTATCTCCCACCTCCCTCTCTCCAGGTTTGGAATTTCAAACTGAACACTTTATTTAATCTAAGGGGGCATATAGTTCATATTCCCCTATCGTCTACATCTATATAATAAATTCGAATGTCAGTGTGTCACAACTTTTCAACTTTTGGAATCAGGCCGACTCTGTGAGCAAATTAAAAACATCCCGGGCCGGACCTGAACTCGCATTCCTGAAATTTGAGATTCCCAAGTTTTCATTACTGTGATTGTTTTCGCCAATTTTTACGTGATTATTTGCGACGAATATTTTTTGTACGATAAAAATTTTTGTAACTTGGAAATAAATTTGGGAATAATCAAAATTAATTAAGAAATCCAGCAAATGTCACCCATGAAATAAAAGTAATTGTTTGTGCGGAAAGTAAGGACCTACGTACATGAAATTGTCTTTAAATTAAGTGGCAGAAGAAAAATTATCATTGAGCTTTTAAAAAGTAAGCTTAAATATTAATGCAATACTTAAATGAAGCGATCAATTTTGAGTTCTTCTGTAGTTTATTGTTGCCTATCATATCTACTCCTTCTTATCTATTGTGATGAAAGCCCTAACAAGATTCCTCCGTAAGAGCTAGCTTAAATGCCGCCCTATCGGGCGGCATCAAGCTAGTCTAGGAATATATCATTCTTTTTGTATTACTCAGTTATTGATGCCCTTGTTTCCAAAGGGCTTATGGCCATATCACGTTTAAACAACAGTTCCCGTACGATCACCAAAGTTAAGCAAAGTCGAGACTGGTGAGTACCTAGATGGGTGACCGCTTGGGAATACCAGGTGATGTAAATCAGGTGCGGGTTGTATGGCTTACGGCCACATCACGTTGGAACACCGGTTCCCGTACGATCACTGAAGTTAAACAACGTCGAGCCTGGTCAGTAACTAGATGGGTAACCACTTGGGAATACCGGGTGCTGTAAGCTTGGATATGATGATAGTGTAAGGGAATTGTCAATCGGAGGACCGAGTTCCAATTTCAGTTGGGTTGGTTATATTCATTTATGCGCAAATACCCTTGGAAAGGTATGAATCCGCCTCTTCTCCTCCAACTATGGGTTAATTAATAAGAGTTGTATCATTATCATCACCAAAAAAAAAAAAAAAAAAAAAAACAAAACAAAAAAATTCTTTTCTGGTTTTAAATAACCTGCAATGGGCTGATAAACCGTAAAAAACGAACCAATCAAATTAAATCAACTGTTTCCACAGAGTATATACTCACTAGGAGGTATAGCAAATGTCCCCTATTCATTATATTTTGTAAAACTTTTTTAAGTTTTAAACAAGTACAGATTTTATACTTTGCTTAAGATTATGTTTTAAATAGACTTCAATTTCAGAAACAAAAAATTGTCCAGTAAAAACTGTTTTCAGATTTTTCGATAAAGCAGTGTCATTAACATCTTTTTATTTGTCATTTCATTTTTTTTTTATCGCAAAACTCAAATCCTGAATCAGAACGAAATAAGGTGACATACAATTCTTGAGCTTCCGTGTCTTATCCATGAAAACCTGACTTACCAATTAGACTAAGAATGCTTTACAAATCGACATCATTCAAATAAGCTATAATTATTTTTTTTCTTCTAGTTCCCAGCAGATCACCGTATTTCTGTTTACTTGCCAAAGTTTACACATCGTTAATAACATTTGTATCGAACTGCTGTTGAGGGCAAAGAGACACAGAGTTGCATAGAATTTTTGTAACAGTCAATGTAGCGCAAGAGAAAACGTTTTACCTTCAAGACAAAAACGGATTCGCACTTGTCTTGCATGTAAACTGTCCCATGGTGGAGAAAATGGCGGCTTTGCAGGTTAAACATTTAAAACAGATAGATCCCAGTGTCGGATACTCTTTCGCGAGAGTCTCTTTTCACATATGTAAATTTTTGGTATATATATATATATATAATTAATTATAATTATCTCAAATCCTTCTAATTTCTAACACTTGTATATCCTTGCTTGAACCGGCTTCTAATGCTCTGGACTGAGTGGCTTGGGGATGGTAGTCGTAGCTCCTGGAGGCACAGTCCGATGGCTGAAGAGTAACTCGGATGAGTTCCACCACGGAATATGTGAGCGAGTGGCTCTATATCGAGTCTCATTCGCTACCTCTTGCTTTCCGAGGCCCGTTGGAACAGTTGGTATGACGTTTGCCTAATAACCTAACGACCCGGGTTTCAATTCTCAGTAGTGGATGCGCACTGCTGATGAGTCTCAATATAGAACGAAACGGCCGGCCGTTTTCTAGACTCGATGAATTACTTAACTATCTCAAATCCTCCTAATTTCTACCTCTTATATATGTTTTCTGTTTTTTAATAGATACAATTTATTTAAGTAAATGCTCTGTTTTTTAAATAAACAGTATTAATTACATTTACCGGCCTGGATGTTCGGGAAATTTCGTAGAAAATATGCATTCTCCGACAGGAATCGAACCTGTGTCCTACACGGAACTATCAATTGATCTGACGTGCTATACCACTCAGTTACAAAGAAAGCGTCTGGTTTATAAACAGAAAATATGTTAAATAATTGTCGGACTTAATCCATTTCATAATATGTTGTCAATGTTTACGTTAAAGTACGTTTCGTGAGCAGATATGATCGTACGGGAATGATCGTCGAAGATTTGTTGTTTATCATCAGTAATTTGGACTTTGCTAACCAGCCGTTTTCTCTCTAGCTGAGTTCAATCTCTGGGCTCTTCATTTTTGTTGTCCCCAGGTCCACCATGACCCGGTTTGGTAGCACCTGATAAGTCCCAGCCATGGGCAAATAGTGAACCTCCAAACCAAAACAAAACACTTTGAAAGTATAAAAATACATTTTTATAGTAAAAATACTAGCAATACATTTTTACATAAAAAGATTACCAAGACATATTTATAGTAAAAATACCAACAATGGCTATTTATAATAAAATTAGCAAGAATACATTTTATCTGAAGTTGAAGGCATCCAAACGCGTTCAAAATATATTTAGTTGAAGCCGTAAAATTGTTCAAAATATTTAGATTTCGGCATTAAATAACCCATAGAGGTGTTGATATACAAAAATCAACGAACCAATCAGCTGAAATATTTAAAATGTATGGAATTGACAGATCATAAAAGTTATTGAATTGAGCACTTAGATTTGCATGAACTCTGAATTACGCCATTAAAAGTATTTTTACTTTAAAGTACATGATACATATGACATTGAATTGCCGATTATAGAAATGGATTCTGAGTGGTTTAAAATTCGTAGCGTTAAACCAAATGGTTTAATAGCAATTACGCTGCCGACAGCGGGGAGGAAGACGTGATTATGGACTGAATAAACTTTTTGTTCCACCTCCTGGTTCCATGAGGACTGGAGAAATCGTTTTAGTAATTTTGTTCCGTATTAATTATGTTCCTTTTACAAAAATCAAACAAGTACAGTTTAAATATCTGGGACGAATCTTAACACACGATGGAAAGTGTGACACTGAAATCCGAAAGCGCATTGGAATTGCAAAAGTTACCTTCCAAAAATTAAGCAAAGTATTAAGAGACAGGAAAATTCCGTTAGAAACAAAGAAAAGAGTACATAACTGTTATGTAATATCAGTTCTCCTATATGGCATTGAATGCGGGACACAGATGAAGAGAAGACTGGAGGCAAAATAAATATGGTTCTACAGTTGGATGCTGAGAATTCATTGGACGGACTGCGTAAAGCCATGAAGAAGTCTTAAGGAAAATAGAAGTAAAAATGACACTTATACCCAGAATCAAAAATAGGCTTCAAAAGTTCTTGAAAAGAAGACAACCGGTCGAGCCGCTTGCTTCAGTGCAGCAGCCACAGGAGTGTTGGGGGCATCAGATTTGATGCTTAAGGGAAGGTTTTCATCATTAGAATGTAGTAGGGCCTTTTCAATTTCTTTTTTACGGTCAATGAACACTTTCTCAGAATTAGAGTTGAGAAAGAACGAAGTAGTTGTTATTATTGGTACTCATTGGGAATAATAAGAATATAGTCCGATTATATGCTATAATGCTGCCTTATCTTGAGGGATCAGAAGATTATTAAGGGGACGTAAACGGGTCTAATTTATCCTTAGCTGATCAGATAGTCCAGCAGGGTGAATGAGAATATTCATCCACAATAGTCAGCAGATAACAGTTCCTAGAGGATGAGGGAAGTGACAAAAAAAAAAAAAAAAAGTCAACCGGTCGGCCCGCTTAGTTCAGTGCAGCAGCTACAGCAGTATCGGAGGCTTCAGATTCGATGATTAAGAGAAGGTTTTCATCAACAGAATTTAGTAGGGCCTTTTCAATCTCCTCTTTAAGGTCAATGAACGCTTTCTCAGAATTAGAGTTGAGAGAGAACGAAGTACGTGTTTTCAAGAGTTTAATCCGGTCGGAGAATTTTAGTCCCTATTGGGAATAAGAAAATAGTCTAATTACTCGCCGTAACGCCGCCTTATTGTTATGATGTTGATTTGGGGTTAGTAGAGACAAACACCAAATAACAGGTAACAATAAAAAGGGTTTTAATAGGTTGGTAAAAAGGTACAGAAATCGCCTGAGTAGTCAGTAACTAGCTCAGCTAAGAACTTCTCGGTCTATCTGACTTTCATGTCAACTGACATGCCACTATTTAAAGTCTTTGTTCACAGACGAGTTCATCTTCCAGAGGGGTGGTAGGTTTCCGACACAACACTTATCTTGATGGATTGAAAGACTCTTAAGATCAGAGAGCCGAGCAGTGTGGCAGTGTCGGATGCCTAAATGCTTTTTTTTCTCGTCCAGGGTTAGATAATACTTTCGAACAACCTTCATGAATTTACTTAAGTTGATATCATGTTTCTCCCTCGTTTTACCACGGATTGTTACGTTATCTACATAAGCGAACGTAGCAGAAAGTCTCCCGGAAGAGATAAGGTTATTTATTATCCTCGGAAAACAAGAAACTCCGTTGATAACGCCAAAAGGTATTCAGCAGAACTGATAGAGGTGACCGTCAGTTTCGATGGCGGTATAATTTTTCTCGGCGTCCTTAATCAGTACTTCGTAGTACGCGCTCTTCAAGACGAGGGCACTGAAGTAGCAATACTGTAGTGATATGCAAATTACGTACTGTATAAAAGTATCGCTATGCTTACGGAACGGTTACATTCTCTTGACGAGACTATTTCTGTCAAAGAGAATACTTATAACAATATGGCGTCGACAATTGATTACTTAGCCACGATGGAATATCCTGAATATGTGGAAATCTGACTTAAGTGTTTCGCAGCGTCGGTGAGAGCAAAAAAAGTAAAAGGACACCGAATCTAGTGGAGAAGAAAATGAAATTAATGATTTGTTTTTGGCCTCAGCGGGGTGTGAGGCTATAAAAAATCTCCGTCATTGTATATCTCAAAGTGTTACAAGATTTAGCGTATGAAGAAATTGCTGCCATCATAAAAGCAAATGTACGACCCCCCAAAAAATGATTGGTCATAACGGAAAGAACTAAATTTCTCGAAAGTAGGCAGAGAACGGAAGAGACTACAGTGTAACCCGGATATAAGAGAAACCCGGATATAAGAGACTTCTTCTCCGGACCCGACAACTCTCTTATATCCGGGTCACACTGTATTATGCAATATGTACAGCAATTAAAAGAATCATCGAGATATTGTGAATTTGAAAGAATGGGTTCGGAACAAATGTTTATCGAAGACGAGCTAATTTTGCTAAGACTGACTGAAGAAATGTTTGACCTCTCGTACAAGCGTAAAATTACATAGCGGCTTTAAGCTCATAATATGATTATGGAAGCATGTGTGGAGTTCTTACAACAAATGGAATTGGTTTAAAAATTTAATGCCTCTAAGTTTCCATGCTGCCTTCAAATTTTTGAACCAATTTCAATTGTTACTAAATTTCAATTGTTTAAAAGCTTACTTGTATGCAGATATTGCAATAAGGAACATGAAATGAGCGAAAATAAACGCCTGGCCTCTGGGAAATGGTGTTTTAAGTGTTAAAAAAAGGAATCATTTCCAGACTGTATGCACATATGAAAAGCGAGTGGAAAAAGTGTAAAATATAAATCTTCCGACTGAATTTATGGAAATATTTGAGATAAAAACACATGATAAAAGTAGGGAAATAGTGAAAACTGGAAGTGATGCTACATTGATATCAAGTAATTCTGGGGTAAGAATGGGTAGACCAAAGTTAAAGAAAAGTAATCTCCAGTTGAAACAGTTCAATGGGTTAATCATCAAAATTTTAGGATGCTTTGAAGGCACATTTAAGACAAAAAATAGATTCGAGATAATACCCTTCATACTGGTGGAAGAAATCAAAAACCACGGTCTTTTAAGAATTGACATGTTATGAGTGGATACGTCAAAGCTGGTAAATTCCATAAAGTCTCTAGAAGCGGATATTGGATTATTAAGGGGATACAAGGCGAGTATTTGGCTTAAAGAAAATAGTCAATCCATGTATTTTCAATCCCGAAAAGTTTCTGTTCACATGCTACCCTTGGTGATTGCTAAGCTGAAGAAAACGGTGGAATAAAGAATATTAGAAAAAGTCAGCCAGTGGGGTAGTAATTGGGCTTCACCAGATCTGTTCGCATTCATTCCCGTTGCCAAACATTGAAACAGCATGCCATGAGTTTGCTGGTATGAAATATTTTGCTAACGTCGACCTTAAGTCAGCATATAATCAGATAAAAATGGGCAGCAATCAGAGATAGAAGCACCTAGAAATAAAAAAAAAAGAGTTAGAATGTTTTTAGGATTAACCAAATTCTATAACAGATATTTACTGTGATATAGTGACCTTGTAGAACCATTTGGCGAAATGAGCAAGAGAAATACCGAGTTTCAATGGACAAAAAGGCAGGAGATTCGCTTTCGAGGAATTAAAAAAGACACTTATAAACAAACCAGTTGTTAAAATCTTCGATCCAGCGAAAGAATTGACGTTAACTATTGATGACGCTGATTGTGCTACAGCCGCCATATTGTCGCAGGATGTAACGTACTTATCTAGAAAACTAACATTGTCGTAATTTAGAAAACCTACAGCGTTCGACATAAGCATTATTGTCATTTGATATTTCACATTACAACAAATTAGTTAAATGGAATCGGAAAAAATGGAATTATCTAAATAAATCGAATAATTTCTTTAATTAGATTTTTAAAAAAATGTACCGAATTATTTAAACAAGTGAATTCAATAACAGAATTATTATTATTATTTGTGTATGTTATGTTTCCTGTTCTGTATCCCGTAGAGCCAGGTCCAAACTATGGTCCTTACACCCTATAGAAGTATTGTCATTTAACTGATAGCACTTGTCTGTGTATATGGGATATTCCTAGTAAAGCGATATTCTGGGCAACTTGTACGTTGATGTTACCTGGGACACTGTTAATAAAATTGTTCATTTCTTTCCTCACGAGGCCCACAGCTCCGATTACTATTGATACAGTCTCAATCTTTATTCCCCACATCCTGTTAATCTCGATCTCCAGGTCATTGTATTTGGACAATTTCTCGATAATTTTTATGAAGGTGTTCCTCTCAGATGGTACCGCTATGTTAATAAGCATACACTTCCTGAATTTCTTGTCTTTTATGATAATATCAAGTCTGTTGGCTTTTATTTCCCTGTCAGTTTGAATTGGCATGTCCCAGAGGATAGTTACATCGTTATTTTGGGTAACTGTGTCTGGTTGGTGGTCATACCATCTCTCAGTGGTTTCGATTTTGTGCTTCTTGCATATCTTACAGTGCACATATGTTGCGACCTTGTTATGTCTGTCAGTATATTCATTTTTTGTTAGTTGTTGTTGTTGTTATTATTATTTTATTTCCTTTGATTTCTTGTGTGTACACATTTCTTTCCGGGTCCCGCCCAGAGACCTAAGGTTAGAAATGGCATCATGACATTTTCCACTGACAAAAAAAAAAAAAAAAAAAAGAATAAAAATAAGGATCGTTACATGTTTATTTTGGGTATCTGCGTCTGGTTGGTTCTCATACCATCTCTCAGTGGTTTCGATTTTGTTCTTCTTGCATATCTTACAGTGCACATATGTTTATTATTATTATTATTATTATTATTATTATTATTATCTTTTTGATTTCTGGCGTTTACACATTTCTTTCCGGGTCCCGGCCAGGGACCTAAGGTTAGAGATGGCATCATGACACTTTCCACTGACAAAAAAAAAAAAAAAATATTACATAGATAAAGCCCTTCGTAAAGTGTGGGCTGTACTTGTCAGAACAATTTTTGTATCTCCTTGAGGCATGGATTTCCAGAATCCCTTCAATTAGTCTACTGCAATCTTTTTCCAACCAGTCCTAGGGCTCCAACTACAACAGGGATTGTTGTTGTTCCCATATGCCACATTTTCGAGATTTCTATTTCAAGGTCCTTGTATTTTGACAACTTTTTAAATATCTTCAAAGATACATTGCAGTCAGCAGGGACTGCCATATCAATAAGGAGGCACTTTTTTTGTTTGTGGTCTTTAATAACAATATCTAGGCGGTTGGCTTTGATTGTTCTGTCAGTGTGTATTGTGTAGTCCCATAGAATTGTAACAGGTCCTATCTCCGTAACCGGGTCTTGGTGGTGTTCATACCATTTTCTTTCAGTTTCCTTCCCGTAGAAGTTGCAGATTTTCCAGTGGCCCACTCTGTCATATATTTATATATTATTATTATTATTATTATTATTATTATTATTATTATTATCTACCCTTTCATTTCCTTTCTGCTGTATATTCATTTCCTCCCGGGTCCCAACTAGAGATCTAAGGTCAGAAATAGCAACATGATATTTGACACTGAACATTTGTGTAAAACTAAAGAATAAAATAAAACAATCTAAAAAGTAAATATATTTTGCATAGAGAAAGTCCTTCGTAAGCTGTTTTTTTTCTATATATTTCTTTAAGGTCTGTGCTGCCAGGCATCTCTTCAATGAGTGTATCAGAACCTTTTCCAATCAAACCGGGTGCTTCAACAACAGCTAGAATTACTGATGTCTTCATGTGCCACATTTTTTAGATTTTCTCTTCAAGGTCCTTGTATTTTAATAGTTTTTTGAAGATACTCAAAACTACATTAAAATCAGTAGAAACTGCCATATCAATAAGAAAGCACTTTCTGTTTTCGTGTTCTTTGGTCACTATGTCTGGGCGATTTATTTTCTTTATTCTGTCTGTGTGTATTGCAAAGTCTCATAAAATTTTTACAGGTCTTATGTCTGTAACCGAGTCTGGGTGGTGTACATTACAATTTATTGCAGTTTCCTTCTTATAGATGTTGCAAATTTTACAGTGCAGATATTTGTCCATTCTGTCATGGTGACTTTTATATTCAGTGGATGCCAATACCGTGCAACTTGATACAAGATGGTCAACTGTTTCTGAATATTCATGACAGAATCTGCATTTACGGTCGACTCAATTCTTCAGTATTATTATTATTAATAATATAAATATCAAAAGATTTCTGTCAGTCTGCTCTGTTCAGCTCTTGGAGAAAGTCGACTTCATATCATGACAAAAAGAACTTTAGTAAATAAATGTTTTACTGAAAATGTCGTTTATATAGAAATTTTAGAGTGTTAAGAAAACTATGGTAACTCTGTTATTCGGACTGGGATTCTTTTATTTTTTTTTTAATCAATTCACTCCAAGCAAGGGGGGAATGCCACCATGACGAAAGGAGGTTACAGAGAGAGAAAGTTGAAATAAAAGACTGAGCATAGGGGCGATTGAGGAAAGGATAAAGGATGAACGGGATTCAAGAAGGCATAAGATGGCGATTGATGCTGCATTTAAATTTTTGAAGATTGTAATTTATTTGTGTCTTATATTTAACTATTTCAACATTAAAAGGGTGGGACATAGATGTCAATCTAGTAGCGCGCTAAAATTCATGTAGTCGGGACACCAGGGAGAAAATGATGCTCTTGCAGAAGCCGTTAAATCGCGTAACGTGACCAAACCATAACATATTCCGACGCTTAATAGTGGCGGGGCATACATGTTGTTACGTATATAGTTATTGGTTTTGTGTTCCCGGTAGCGTATTTGGATCAGATTTCTTAAGCATTTCTTCTTGAATGCCTGGATCCATTTTCCTGTCTCACCCAGGAGTATCCAATTCTCACGCTCGTAACCCCTTGCTTCTTAGTGGCATTATCCCCACTCTTTGATGTTGTCTGATCAGCTCTTGCGTTGCCGTCTCCGCTTGTGTCCGCCTTCAACATGATCGTTCTGCAGAGACCGTTATGCTGTGTGACTTAACCAAACCATGACATCTTCTGACGTTTAATAGTAAGGAGAGATTCCTGTCGGCCCACGAGACTTTTGACCTTGCTTTGTCTCACACACGTAGAGGATGACTGATAAGACCAGTAATTTCTAGAGCCGGAAGCTGATGTTGCTCTTCCATATATTTTCCAGTCTGTTCCTCGTTGCTGAATTTTTGCCTTGCAGCTGAGATCTTTTGACAGGATTGCTCCCAAGTGTTTGATTGTAAATACTTAATTACAATAATTTATATGAAAATTTAAACATGTCTATTATATACCAACGTTCTCCCCATCGTTACGCTAACACCAAATTTTCCATGCAATTGATAAAAAATACTCCTTAAGAGTTATCGAAAAATGATACGCGTCAATAACTTGAGTAAAAATACTCTAAAAAAAGTATTAATCTCTCTATTTTTGTATATGAAGACAGGAGAAAGATAAAATTCATATTTTCCATTCAGTGTAGCCGTCAGTTTTGTCCTTTTATTGTGGAACAAATTGATTTTAAGTCTGCGTCATTTGTAGATTGAATAAAGTATGAGCAGGTTTCTAATTTTATCGGTTCAAATTGCCGACAGCTGTCAGTCGGCCTACGTAAATTTCTTGTCTAAACTCAATAACGATGAAGATATTTTCCTTTTCGCGTCAAAACATAATTTCGACTCTATTATATCTTATAGAAGTTGAATAAGTAACTATATCAATATGTATAGCTTAGATAACATTGGTACTTGTGGATTAAGCTCAATAGACAGAGTAAAGGGCAAGGGATTTTAAAGTCCATTTAGAGTGTGACGCCTTAAGAATTTACATTTATATTTATGAAACTAAATCTTGACGGGTCTACAACAGCCCAAAGTTATTTCATCTGCCGAACTTTTTGGTCTGGTTTTGTTCTCTCATTCCTTCTGCCTATCTTTCTGTCTAACTCTCGCGTTTCTTCTGCTTGTTTCTTTCTTTCTTATTCCCTGTCTCTCCGACTCACATTCCCTCTCTCTTTCTTTTTTCTCTCTCTCTCTCTCTCTCGTTTCCTCTAGCTGTCTGCCGTTCTTTCGCTTTCGTTCTCTCTCTCATTCTCAATTCCTGTAATTTTTCTCTTTTTTGTTCCTTTTATTTCTCTCTCTCTCCCTCTCTCTCGTTCCCTCTGCCTATCTGTTTCTTTTACTCTCTCTCTCTCTCTCTCTCTCGTTCCCTCTGTATGTCTTTCTCTCTCAGTCCCTCTGATTGTCTCTTTCTTTCTCTTTTTTTATCATTCTTTCTCTCTATGTTTTTTACTCTTTCGTCCCTTCTGTCTGTCTGTCACTCTCTCATTCTCTTTGCTTGTATCTATCTCTCTTCTTTCTCTCTTTCTCATTACCTCTAGCTGTGGGTGTTTCCTTTATTCTCACACTCTCGTGCCCTCTTTTTGTCTTGCTCTCTCTCTCTCTCTCTAATTCCATCGGCCTGTTTATTTTTTCTCTCTTCGCTGTCTCTCTCTCTCTCTCTCTCTTTCATCCTCTTTATTTTCTCTCGCTCTTTTCTTTTTTTACCTCCCTCTCATTCTCCTTACATATCTCTTATCTTTCTCACTTGTTCACCCTGGCTGCCTCTCACTCATTCCTTTTGCTTTGCACTATTACGTTCCTTCTGCTTGTCTCTTCCCCCACCTTTTTATTTCTTTCTTTCTTTCTTTCTTTCTTTCTTTCTTTCTTTTTCTTTCTTTCTTTCTTTTAATATGCTTGTTTCTGTCATTTTTTTCTTTCTCGTTCATTCACTCTGTCTATTTTCTTTTTCTCTTTCCTTTTCCTAACTCACTATCGACTTCTGTATACACCCTCTCTCTTTTATTTCTTCTACCTGTCTCTCTTTTTTTAAATTGCGAATCATAAAGTAATTCATTATATTAATGAAGATATTTCTCATAGAATAAGTGACTATATATAAAAACGAATAGCTAATATTGCCTTAAATATTTACGAAACTTGGCTAAAGCTGACACAAGATGAAAATAAATGGGGATTTTATTAGTTGAAGCATTGTCAACCATTATTATTAATTTTTGACTAGCATTTACTTTCATTTTCATTTTTTATTTGATCTTTGTCCCGCAAACAATATTTCACGGAATCATGTGAGTCCAGGTAAAAATATGAGCAAAAATATGGAATTTAAAACAAAGGGCAATTAATAAATGTTATTAGCAAAACAAATATCATCTGTACACAGTTGAAATGAAAGGAAAAGACATTAAAACTACTTATAAGAATGTGGTGTGTGTGTGTGTGTGTGTGTGTGAAACAAGCATGTGTGATACAAACGTGTGTGCGTGTGATTGAATGTTCCGTAGTCAGTGGACCAAGGAAATGAATGCTCCCCAGCGGCAACATTCTTTATTTACGTTGGATTCCATTTTTAAGCAATAGTGAAAAGAGAGAAAAAAGAAGGAAATATTTGCCTTTTTATAGACTTAATAGCGCCAGCTACGGGCGTTTTTGGTGAAGCTCAGTGGGGTAATCCATATGTTTTTTCATCTTACATCACTTGTTTTACTCTGCTTAATAATAGACGCATTATTCTTAAGTTGCATGAATTTCCGAGATGAAACATTGTCATTATTAATATTTTTTTTATTCTTATTTTTATTGCATTTTTATTGAAACACTCAAGGCGAATACGTCGACTTTATTTCCAACATATATTGTTTAATTAACAGTTGTGGGATGTAAACACGAGTTGGGCGTTGAAACAAAACCACAGTACCAATTATTGAAATGAAAACTACTTGTTTTTTTTTTTTTGCTTTTTGGCTACACTTGATTTCATAACTATGTTGTTATAACAACACCAGTAATGATGATTATGATGATAATTGTAAGCACTTCCGGTCCCACTAGAGAATTCTGGGACCAAGACGGATCCAGCGAGCAGTTTGAATTAAAATATTGTTAGGTTTACCAGGTTTCGTATCATTTGTGATGCTACGACTTTTCAGCGGCCAATCTCATATAACTTATCTTTGAGCCTTAAGCTCAGTGGAATATATGTGATTAACGCATCAACGATTGCTAAGCGCTTTTTAATACTAAATTTCACCCAGTACAAGACACGAGAGCAACTTAAGGTAGAGTGCTACAGTCAACGAGAAAGTAATGTTCAATAAGGTGTGTGATATGAATAGAAGTAAGCAATAAAATTCATAAGGATAAGGTAGAAAGATAACGATTGACCCTTGACTTGACGAAGTCAAGATTGAAATGTTGACAGCTGTGTGAGTATAACATTCTCCTTACGTTTTGAAAACGAGAGAAATATTATTCGACATCGTGGAAGAGGCACGGCGAATCTTAGCGGAAATCGTTGAATTGGTGGTACTAATGAATGGAACTCTAAACCTTTGCCAAGGAAATAACGATAGCATCACAATAGGCTTGCAAATTGCATCTCTGGGAAAGAGGTTGTTGAGTGTGAAATATGTATCCACCCACCCCACAAAACAGTGCAAGGGATTTCGAATTCTGTCACGACTGCAAAGTGAGGACTGGGCAGCTCTAGTCTATATATTGCTGCAATATTCCATTTTTGGTCTAACTTGACTCTTATTAAGATGAAGCATGCCAGGAGGAGTCTGATGCGATAGAATGAGTCGACCTTTTTTCCTCTATCTTTGGCAATAGATTAAATATAAGATCTTCTCTTTGGAATCCAAGAGACGTTCAAAACATGGATCTTCATTGAGGGTAGAACCGTTCATCGTGAGTGGATTAGTTTCGCTGCAGCTATGTTGTGAGCAACACGTTTAACACATCAGCTTCGGGACATGCAAACTGGAAGTAGCTCACTGGAAAATGCAAGCAAGCTGGAAATGATTCACCGGAAATGACTTTGTACGTTATCCCTATTACTTGGCTTCACGAAACGATCAATTTAGAAGCGTTTCTATGCCTGCTGCAGCCTCTCGTGTGGTTCATAAGGTCCATGCATATGGATAGGAGTTAAGGGACTTGCAATGGTTCGCGCGGACCAATCACTAAAATTATACAAATTTTTAGAACTTTTAACCAGTAACTAAAAAGTAAGGGATGTAAAAAAGAAAGAAAAAAGACATGCAGTGGCATATTTTCCCATATTGTTTACAAGATTGGCTTGGCAGCAGGTGCTTGTTTTCTTCTGCTAATTTTTGCGGGTTTCTTCTGTGAAGGAGGATGCATCCTGTGCCTCCATATCTCTCACCGATGGTGGTTAAACCCGCAGGAGACGAGGGTCCTTTTCAAGCCTTCTTGTAGCTCTTTATTAGAAGATTCGGTTCTCTGTCGGATAGAAACTAATCAGCAACGAAATGGGATGAAAATATAGCAAAAGATATTGGTTGAAATTACAAATCACCAATAATAAGTAGACGAAAATTTAGTTTACAAATTAGAGACGTCTATTCAATCCACTAAATATAATGTGTATATATAAAAATTCTTTAATATATATATATATATATATAGTTATTTATTTAAAAAAAAAATTTATAACATAAATATGTAAATAATATTTTACATTCAACATCATCACTTGATAAGACACCGAGGGTGTTGAAACAAAATGTCTATTTTTGTAGTGATTTTATAACATATTTATGTTATAAATTTTTTTTTAAAATAAATAATTATATCTGCTCTACTTTGTATTGAGCACTCTTTTAAGAATAGTATTTGTTGGTTATTGGAATTCATTCCATATATACCAATCATATACTTGGGTATATATATATATATATATATATATATATATATATATATATATATATATGTGTGTGTGTGTATGTGTGTGTGTGTGTGTGTGCTTGCGTGCGTGCGTGCGTGTGTGTGTGTGTTAAATTTCTCAGAATAATTCTGAAGTTAAGACAATTTGGATAAAAAAGTAAAAAATATTTTTTACTCATTGCCGACGCGTTTCGTTAAACAGACTTTATCAAGGCAAGTTTAAAAGTGAAATGTTTTGTAGTTACATCAGAATCAAAATATTTAAAAAAATGAACGGTTCTGAGTAAGCCTCCTACCCCCCACAGATATATATATATATATATATATATATGTGTGTGTGTGTGTGTGTGTCTGCTGTGTGTGTGTGTGTATGTATTTATATATATATATATGTGTGTGTGTGTGTGTGTGTGTGTGTGTGTGTGTGTGTGTGTATATAAGTTGGGGTTAAATATAGATCAAATATAGATTGGAATCCGACAGAATATAAGATAAAGAACAAATAAGAAACGTTTATCAATCTAACATGTTTCATTTTTATTAAAGCTTCACCCGAGAATGACATATGGAAAAAGAAAAAGAAAGAAATTCTATTTCTTTTTTTTTAATTTTGCATTGCTTGATCTTCATTCGTTAATCTTGTTTCACGTACATTGGACCTCTTAAACAAACGTTAGTATAATTTCTGGCGTTCCGAATTCAAGGAGAAACGACGCGTCCATTCGAAGTTCCAAGAAATTAAAGGATTTGAAGCCTGCCTGAAGAGCCGTAAATATTGCACAAAACCTTTAATATCGAAAATAAATAAACACGTAAATAAATCAAACCACTAAGTCTCAAGGGGGTAACTGAGTGTGACAGAATATGAGAAGAAAAATAAACACTATTAAAGGGAGAGAACAATAAAATAAAAGGATTAAGAAGACAGAGTATAACGATTGACATTGTATTTTTATTTTTGAAGATCAAAGTTGAATGGGAAGCAAGAAGCCGGAAGAAGATGCCACAAGCGAAAATGGCCTGATATTGTTACAAGGTAACTATCAGGTTATCGTTGAACATGGCACATTCAATTCAACATAATTTTAGTTGTGTTTCTGCGAGATGGATATTTTTTAAAGTGCTCCCAATGTTATGTTGGAACTTCTTTTCAAGGACATTTCATTCTTCTTTATTAGATTTCTTGATATTTTCGCCGAAACATAGAAATATAACATTTTTAGGAGGTTAGCGATAAAGTTTAACGTTAATTTACTAAAAAAAAAGCTTCCAACAAATATTGTGAGTTTCACATTCTCCAAGACGTCTTTTCTCGTTATAATTCCCAGAAATTTCAATTCTCATTTTTATTTCCAGTTTCTTTAAAACTTCCTCCTTGTTTGCACACTCCCTCCATGATATTCTTTCTGTAGAACCACATCTTTGTTGCCTCCCAGTCTTCTCTTCAATTATGAGGAAATTGGCCAGAATTAATTACAATATAGTAGAATTGATTTTACAAAGCAGTTCAGCCTAATCTAATATTTTGTGTATCATATATAACCATAGAACGCTTGCTTGTTTTGAGATTATAAATAATGCAAGGCAATTCAGCTTATTTGGCAAATAGAATGTGCTCATATATAGTGTTTCACATAATAAAAACCTTTGCATCATTATGTGATGCCCAGAGCATAGTGTAAATAACTTATGGTTTGTACGCTTTTATTATGTAAAACTCTGTATATCAGCACATTCTATTTGCCAAATAAGCTGAGTTGCCTTGAAATCTGAAAGAAGCATGAACTTTTGGACTGGCAAAGGGTTAATGTCTTCCATATTCATATCCCGGGGTTCAAAACTTTCATAATTTTAATAAAGGTGTTCATAATCGTTAAATGATTAAAAACACAGTAAATATTTAGAAATGTTTTCTCTTTGTGGACAATTGCATTGAAGCCAAAGTAGTTGTAGTGGCAACAATGAAAGCATTTGTTAAACTGGTGAAAACAACAGTAATGTCCGGTTCAACTTGGAATAATTTCACTTCGATTGGTCGATAAACCTATCCTTATTTCCA